TATTCGGTTATTCAATGTATGCAAAAAACCATTAGTAATAGAAAAGTATTAAAAGTGGTGGTCAATAGGGAGCATAATATCTAAATTTCAAATAATTGAAAATATATACTTGCAGCTCGAAATGTGGAACTTAAAGGTCCATATATACAGATATTCAATTGTGTTACTGTACCAAAAACAGTGTCAGAAAGCTGATCAACTGACCCTATTACACAACTTACTTATTATTACGAAAAAAAAAAAGAAAAAATACCAAATGGAAAAGAAAATACTACTGATCGGAAAACGTCTCGTCAAACTGCACCCACGGTTAGTTTTGGTTAGTTTCGTTGCATTGCTTACTCCAAGCTAAAGTGCACATTTCAACACATGTTGTCGATTTCTGTGCAACAGTGTTTATGGACAATCAATTTGCGAACAATGAAATCGACATATTTATACTTATAATGTATAAAAATATTCCCGAATAAAAGTTTAGCCGACATCCGGTTAGTCGTTACCATGACAAACTCCAATAGTATATGTACTAAATTGACTTTTGGGGATGACGAGGATCAGATTCTTAAAATGTTTCCCACAAAATAGGAGATTTCATGTGAGGGCTGAACTTGATAATGGAGGGACAAAAACTCGGAATTGTAGCTTAATAGACAGCGGAAGCCAGCTATGATGACTATAACTAAACTTAAACCTCGGAAATAATCACGAAGCTATTTTTAACGAGCGTGAGTTTTTCTCCTCATGTGGTCACCATGCATTTTTCCATTAAAAAAAACTTACAATAGTAGTCGCGGCGTTTATCGCGCGATCAGTTCTTTATCTCGGTTTGTTTGCAGTTCTACCCGGTTTGTGGTCGGCTGAAAAGCGCAGGTGATAAAAGACCTGATGCTGAAACACACACACACACACACACACACACACACACACACACACACACACACACACACACATACACAAACACACGACACAACGGTAAGACTAGATTTCAACAAACGTCGGGTTGCTCGTCCGCGTGTCGCTCTGCGCTTAGATAAATCGCAAATTTATTTTATTAGGCAAATGTAAGAGTGGCTTAACGGTAAAACCGCAACCCATGCCGAGGATCTCGTATAAATTGCACATGTGAATCGCCTACGCGGGCTGAAATCGAAATGGGAACGAATAGACCTAAACCAATCAATAGTGACTTTCGTGTTACAATAATATTGGGTTGCTATTATTTCACCACCCGAAGCGTTAGTCTGCTAGGTACCCCTGTATCAAACTAGAATGATGATTTGGTTACTGAGTTTGCCATGAAACTATGTTATTGAGAATCGTCAATCACAATGAATGAATGCGCACTGGATGTGAAAGAATGTCGCTAACAATCATAGGAATAAGAAAAATGTCTTGCAAAAATCTGTGCACGGATTGATCATTTCTGTATTTGAAAATCCTTAAATTCTACGTTCTTCCTTTGGGTATTTCCGGGCAACCATCACACACTCCTACTGCTACATTGTAGGCCAAATTGGAGAGAAAGAAAAGTATTCGACAGAAGGAAAAACTTCTGAGAACGAGAATTGTAAGAACTGCTATGAGAAGAATGCGTCTTGTAAAATAAATATATTTTTTATTTAGACAGAAGACACTTTGGTTCTTGGTTCAAATTAAGTATCATACTATCATACTACAGTAAATTGGCAGAATTCAGAGTTAAGTTATTAACAATAAATATATGAGTAAATATATAACAGATTCATACCACCACAACTCGCTCGCAGCCTCCACTGTATCACAGTGCAGCACACTGCTATATGTGATTTAAGTGAAATTATCGATGTTGTTATAAGAGCTTAAAATATTAAATCATGAGAAGATCGATGTAGAGGAGCTTTCCTAATTAGAATTGCAATCCAACTTCGAGATGGGGAATATTAGTAAACTTAGTAATACGACTGAATGAACTTGGCTATTTATTAATTATAATTTTAAATACCAAATCTAGAGGCACAAAGTGCACGTTGGTGGGTGAAATGTAGAGCCATGCTTGGAAAATCATTCCCTTCTCTTCGAAAATATCAATTAATTTTTACTGTAGTAGGGTCGCTATATAATGTAATAGCTATATATAGATGCACTCATGTTTATATTACTTTATGAAATGTAAAAAATGAAAATATTGATCTCCATTTATTGTTCGTTTGCTAAATTGTAATCTGATCCAAAGAAAAAAACGGGTACCCAGTATCCAATTTTACCTCCTTCATTTTATTGAATCTTTCATGTTACTTTACTCATATCGGCATTTCGGTATATTTTAAATGTACTCTAAGAAATTGTTAGGAAACTCCTTACAGTTTCCTCCTTAATTTTAGAATTAGATTAAAGAACTTGCGGTTAGTGGTTTACACGCCGTATATCATTTACTACTTTTACAGAATTCCGCAATTGTGTGCAAGAAAATGCGGTTTTGCGGTATTAGGATTTTAAGACACGTGGGTAATTCGCTTTTCGCTTTTTATTTGATGGAACGAAGTCGGATGAAATTAAACTTAGACCATCTTTTATAGTGTTTTTTTGCAATATTTTTCCGGCCCTACCATAAGAAATTTTGATATCAAAGCAAAATCATTCACCATAAAATTTATTTCTCGGTATCTGGTTTACATTTTGGTTACACAATCTCATATTTTGCATATTTCTTAATTGAAAATTTTAAAAAGTCGAAATGCATCCTTTTCTGAGAGATAGCCTCAGGTGATTTTGCACGCTGTGCGTTTAAATACACGCAAAAATAACTGTTCCTCACTCAACTCAATGTGAAATTAATATTTTTTCTGAATTATAGTCAACGAGCATTAATTTAAAACCGGACCATTTTCTTTGGAGTGGAGGGGAGCTGGATTTGAATGAACGCTCCTCAGTCTACATTCTACTGGTTTAATAAGATACTTATCAAATTATAACAAATCAACACAAGATGCAATTAATTGCCTAGTCAAAATATGACATATTCCTAGATATAACACGGCGCTTTCCTAATCCCCGCGATCCGATTTAGTCAGAATCCGCTCGCCCTGATATTATATCCAATTAACTTGATTAATCCGTAACAGACTCTCCATCGATGGCAATGGATCTCCGCTAATAAGACCAATCTGGTGGCGAAGATTTTCGTTTTTTTTATCCGGACGTTATTAAGAGTAATTATTACGTAATGAACTAGAAAATTACCGGAAAAGATGACTTCCAAGGTCATTGCGCGCCACTTTGAAATACCGATTTTAATTGATTTAAATGCTCAGATCCGATTTCAACGGTATGAAAAGAAAAGTATGTGCTAATTTCAGAGGCTAAAAAGCAAATCATGTCCTTACGTAATTTGGAATATCACCAATCTTCGTCTGATATGTCGTTTTCGCATGTTGAGAATCAAAAGTCAGAAAGAAGACTTGTGATTACTATATTCCTATACGTGCTGCTTGTAAATAAATCATTGTAGGATATCTATACTGCTCTTTCCTTTCGAGTGCGATGAATATTTATCTTTACTCTGCTTTTGGAGATCTTCCCCCTTCTCCACAAGCATCTTGATTATTTCATTTGATTGTGGAAAGGATAAGACAGTGCTCCCGAAACAAGAGCCAAAATTTGTAGATATAGTTTTTAATCGGTTAAGCGTCAGACTTTGGTGTATGTTTGGTAGCTCACTACTTTAATTTTATTAGTTTTAGTAAAATCGTTAATGGTTTCATGGACAGGTATTATAACTATCTTAACTCTAACTAATATTTGGTTCTACATAGTTCTGAAAGTAATCTAGTGTCACGATACATACACATACAAATATTGTAGTAGAGCAATGAATCGGGACATTAACGCAAATCGGTGAGAACGAATCGATAGCAAAATCTGCGTGAGGATGTGTGCTGCGGGCGCTGAAACACTTGGGAACATGATATACAGTCAAGGCCAATTCGCGAATTGGCATTATAAGAATATATAAGGTGGTCATAGACTCACGTTTCCTGTTGGCGTTATCTGATTGTTCCCTGTTTGTAATTGTCGGTTAGTATGAAAAATCGGAATATCTTTGAGATTTCTTTTCAACAAAAAAACTGCTACCAAATTAATTCCGTGCTCTAAGAACGCCAAAATAAACTGAAAAATTGTAACATGCTGGGTCCCGCTTTGGTTTCATTCGATTTTTAAAAAAACAACAGAAACTAATGAAAACGTGCAGAAATATTTAACCAACTTTTAAATTATTTATATTAGGCACCTCAAATTTATTAATATATACAAATCATCAATCATACTTTGGCTTCTTAAGATCTTATTTGTAAGCTAAGATGTGTGAAACTTTCTTTGGAAAATTACATTTCGTATTTAGTTTTGATCTTTTATGCTTCAATTACAGTGACACTCTGTATGATGGAGTAGAAGGTTTATCGTGTAAATGTTTCTTTGTCACAATGCCGTAAATTTGTGAATACATAGTTGGGTCGTATTGAAAACGTACCAACGACAAGTGTTGTGCCCACGCATAACCGAAGAATGTGAACGAATAATAAATTTTGAATCGCCGAGGATAGTTACAACTGTCATACTCACAAAAAGAATTACAGTTCTGCGGCGACGTTGCAACTCTCATCTTTGGGAAACTGTAAGGTTTTAGATCGCATTTATTCTGAAACCATTACACATGGCGGCGTTGCTTCTTAACACTTCCAAAAATATTAAGTAAAAGTTAAAAAAATTAATAACTCCTTTTTATGAATTCGCTAAACTTTTATGCCTAAGTTTTTGTAATCGAACTTTGAGATTTGAAGGTAACGTTAATTTCATATTTCGAAAGATTGAAAAATTTATTTTTTATTTATTATATTTATTATTTAAGTTTAAATGTTGCAGAGAATGATAGAGTTGGGGGGTGTTAGAAAGAGAACGAAAATTGTGCTTGTTAATGTGGTATGTGCTATGAAATGCATCTAAATATACTTTTGTTGTTTCAGGTGAGCCCGCAGTTTTTGTTCATGTCACTATGTTGGCCTTGATAGCAAAAGGTAGGTATAAAGACGTCAGAAAAGATTCATAGGCCATGTTGCATATAAATCAATGAAAATCCCTAAACACATATTTTTTACAAACAAAGGATGTTTAAATGGGCCAACTGAAATTCAATTGTGCAGAGTGTTCCAAAAGATCTGAAAGTTCTAGGGTTATCCTAAATTGTTTGTTTCAAGGGTAAAACGGTGTTTTTTTCGATCAAGTCATATCATCATCATCATTTTGCCGATTTTGATTATTTTGACAGATCTGTTTGTTTTAGTAAAAGGCTAATTCTTGAGCGCCTACCTTACTAAAAAAATCTATTGACAAATAATTGGTTGCCTCTGGGCACGTCACTGCATTTAATTATATGGATCTAATCACATTTGAATTAGTTGCTAGCTTAAAAGTACGCAATTATATGGACGAAAAACATATTTATAAAAAATATATCACCAATTTATATTTTTTAGTTATCGAATAAACCCAAGAATTACATTCTTACATGATCTATCTATATCATTGTCCGCTGGAATTTATAAATTTTTGCTTCAAAAGCTGTGGAAAACGATATGTGGCACAACATAAATAATAGCCATTCTCTCTACAAAAAAATCTAGAAATGTTGTGTTAATAATATTGGATGTCACATATTGGTTTAAAATGTTCTTTTTCAAGTCATGTTAATTAATATGTTGTATTAATTTTTGCTTCCTTAATAATGCAGGAAAATATTTTATATATATTATACAAGTGACGCCACAAACGGTCTGTATTTGTAGAAATGGATCTTAATGTTAATGATATCTTACAAGTCTGCAGACAATCTTGTAACAATATGGATTTTTGATTTTTTTTCGAAGAAACTTCCACAGGCTACTGTAATACTTTTTATAAAACTTCTGGATTCCTCCTGCGTCGGTTTTTGTTGACCCAAATTAGCTAACGTTTCGCTGACTTCTTCTTGACTGAAACTGGCTCGCATTTTACTCTGTACTTGCTTTTATATTGTTTGAGGAGGGCGGAGCTAAATACCATACCATAAACACCATTGAAATAGAAACTAATAACAACCCCCCCATTCTTAAAAAAAGAAATTTCTATAGAAAATCAGACCTAACATTGGGTCATTGTGTTTACAGAAAACCTACGGACACAGACCGATATCTGCCACATCAAGATATGGCCCAAAAATCATCGGTTATCAACTCTCTTGTTTACAGAGCCGTAAACCTATCTCAGCCCGAGTCATTGAACCCAGAATTAAAACACCTTACCTCTGTTCTTCTCTCAAACAATTTCCACATTAAAGATATTAAGCGTTCGATTACAAAATACACTTCACCACAACCTTCTAATAGCAGTGAATCCGAAAGCAATCTCACACTTGCACACTGTTGTTCTTCCTTATATTCACAACATCACTGACCGCATATCAAAATTTCTAGAGAAATATAACGTCAAAAACCAGATTTACTACTTGTCCAAAAATCTCTTAACATCTTCGATCCGTGAAAGACAAAATTCCAGTTGAATGCATTGGAGAAACCAGACGAAAAATATCAGCTAGGCTCAAAAAACATGAAAGAGCCTTAAGACTAAGACAAATAAACTCATCAGAAGTTGTCGAACACAATCACGAAACCGGTCATAAAATTTTATTGGATAAAACTAAAATTCTTGCATGTAATCAATTCTTCTACCAATGAAAAATCCGAGAGTCTATAGAAATCTATAAACAACCTAACAATCTTACCCGCGACTCAGCTCTCTACCTGTCACCGATATGGGAATCAGTCTTCAGAGATGGTATTAATGTCCTTCATTTAGCTCCGCCCCCTCAAACAATATAGAAGCGAAAATCGACTGAACAAAAACCGACGCAGGAGGAATCCAGAAGTTTTATAAAAAGGATATGGAAACATTAATGTCAAAATTATATCCTTGTGGGAGGTATTGCCCAAATTAACAACTTCGTAATCCTTTAATCTATGTAGTCGGAATTTATTCACTACTAATTACGGACTAATTACTTACTAAATACAGGAAATTTCGATTTTTAGCCCCGCTCACTCTGATTCATAACATACGGCAATTAAACCTAACTGTACTGACGTGGACAAAAAAACTTCAATTTCTGCGTACCTCACTTGATATAAACACACATACGCGATTTCCAACCAGCCGGAGTGCTCTTCTCTCCGGTCCGCGCCGAAAAAAAAATCAATTTACAACGACCGATAATGGTGCCCATTTACACCGTAAAATCTCTTCAAATCGAAATCGAACGGTTAATGCTGAAACCCGTTACAGAGCGAGAGATTCTTCTCTTCTCAATCCAAACGAGATATTCCACACGTATATGGTGCGCTGTGTTTTGTTTTTGTTGTGGGTCTGTGAGCGAAATTTTTCTTCCGATCTGTTCGGATCACACATTGGCGTAGATCGGTTGGTTTAGTAATTATAGCAGAGATCAAAGATGAACATGATTTGTCCCAGTTGGTATTGTAACCAATTAGTTCTGTTCTGTTGTATTTTCACTAGTTCTGAGATAACTGATGCTGTATACTGATAAAACCGGAGAATCAAAAAGGATTGCTTGATTCGTTCATACGCAACGTTCCTTGTGTTAGAGTTATGAATGAAATTCAATGACACTAAGAAAATTGAACTCGTGCCTACAAACCAGCATAAGGTCATAAAAAGAAATTTAATTTAAAATCAGCATTTCTACCAATTGCAATAAGAATATAAGAAACCAGAAATACTTCAATACTTGCATGTTTTGAAAGATATATTTTAACAAAAGAGAAATTATTAAAATTTTCTTCTGTTTCTCCAATATTCATGTCTGAAAATGGCACATTTTGTTTGTTGTAAGAAGACTTTTTAAAATCTTCCACTTTTTTTTTGCTACATATTTACAGTTACAATATTTTAACTTTTTATATGCCTCTTCCATTTATAAAACAGGGACGAATTCTGTCTTATGTTCTGTCTCTATCTTTTTCTGCATTCTTTATACTTTTTGTAATACATAAATGCGTTTGAAATTTTTACACTTTACGGAGCGATCTTATCCAGGGCCTCCTCTGCGAGTATCAAGCATTAATATCAACAAACGTATTGTTCCACGTTGTGCGTTTATAATATCAGAAATAAAAATTTTCACAAAAAACAAAAAGTACCTAATTATAAAGTTGTTAGTGTCTTAAAAGGCAGCTTAAAAGCGCCAGGGTCATTTTTTAAAAATTATAATTATTTTTGATCATAAGCGTGATGAGATTTATTTATTATTTCTCTATAATAATCTTTAAAAACTTGAATTTGAATGATTACCAGCTGCGAAAATCGCGGCAAGCGTAAGTTCAAAAAAAGTGTGTAGGTCAACAAATCTTCGAAACTTGGAAATTTTCTTTGTCTCCAATTCAACAGAAGTGAATGGCGCAATTAAAGGACAAAACACAGCTTTTCATCACTATTGCCGACTAAAAACGCTAATTAAAAGTCGCAACGGCGCGAATCTTATCCCTTTTTTGCCATCAGCTGATTGGAAACCGATCAACAAAACGCGTTTTTGCGCCACACAGGAGCAACAAAGTAATAAGTTAGTGTTTTCGATGGGCAGCGACTGTGACGTTATCCAAAGGTTTTTGACTTTAATTCGACGTTAAATTGCGAACGTATTTTAAAGAAAAGGACAAAAACCTTCCAGGTACGGTTATTTTTGTACAGTTGTTTTGTTGACGTTCCTCTACTGAAATGTTGATCGGGCTCTGTCGTAGAACCGCGATTAAATTTAATCATCATTTAGTTCTTCATTCAGACGCTCGACATCTACTTTCTTGACTTACATTAAGACTTTAGTTTTGGTTAATGGATAAGAGGCAGTTTCTTACAAATACTTACAATTCGTCTTAGTTGCTTTTTGTGTGGTTGGTTTATTTGTCTACTTGTTCGTTTGTTGTTTATCATTTTGGCTAGTCATTAAAATTGAAATAGTATAGGAATTACTTTCCTCCATGAAAAACAGTTTTATATCGTCATTTATGCACAGTATTAGATCATTAATTTCCTGACAGTCTCATTAAGGTTAGAGAATCCTTTACTTTAAATTGCCTCAAACATATTTCGCCTTTACTTTGGTATTGATATTTTGGTCATTCTAAAAAAAGTGCCTCATAAAATATCTGTTCGTTGTACAACTAATTAATACATAGTTAAGCATTCGTTTGTTTAGTAAGTATACAACCATACCAGGAGAAAGAAAGCTTAAAAATCGGAATAGATTTTTGTATTGATATAACAATAATAGTAAATTATTTATTGCTCATAAGATACAAGCTTTAACCTTAACATGACGCTAGATACTATTGAGTATAGGACGCTTTAGTTTAATAGCATATTAAATTTGAATTTGGGATAAAAAAGACATCCTAATTACAATGGGAACGTGATGATAACACTTAATTAAGCTTGAGTTGCGGAACTCCTCTGCTACCTTAAGTGTTATTTATTTTGCAAATAAGCCAGACAGAATAAAATATATAGTCCAAGACTGATTACAAAAATAAAGTTACCAAAAGAAGGGAAGAGGAGCCAAAATAATTACATTAATTGATGTTGCTTTTAGCCATAGCTTTAAACTTATTCAATGACCCAGGGACAATTTTCCACTAGTCAGTTAGACAATTTATAGCTGAACTCTTTCGATGTTTTAATTTTTGATTTCAGCAGAAATTATGTTATATAATTTATTTTTTTATATATACATTGAAAGTTTAAATTTTTTTTAATCTTCAAATTTCTTGGTTAGTTGAGTCACACTACTTTTCGACAGTATCCAAAAACACTTTAAGTTGTCGCCCTAAATTTTGTCCAATGGGATTGAAGATCAAGTGATCGCTATTTAAAAGCGGCTTCATTGCTGATTAGTTTATGAAAGCATATAGAAAGAAGTCTTTTACTTCTTACTTCAGTGCAATGAAGGTATTTTAAAGGTTCATATTTTCTA